ATGCTCGAGGATCCAGAAGAGTTTTTGTTTTTTTTCAATTTACTCAAACTGTGCTACTAACAGTTTTTTTTTTTTTTCAAATTTGAATTATTTGACTATCTATTCCATTACACTTTCGTATAACCGGAATACTATGTTCTTTTTTGAAGCAAACATGAGAAGGTATGTTTACTAAATCCCAACATTCTTGAGGTATAAGAACTCAAACCAATGTAAGCATCTGGACTAGATGTTGGATTTATTCGTATCTCCAATAAACTAATCTAATTTGTCTCTTGATTTTAATTTACAGGCTCCAAAGCAAAAGATTATCAAGAAGACTAATTGAAAATTTGAAATCAAAGGCTGAAGAAACTTGATTTTAATATACAAGCTGACATGGTTGTTGGATTCAAATTTATATGTTACTATATTTTTGCAGTTGGACGACATAAGTTTTTTTTTTAATGGCTATTATGGTTCTTTTAAAAGATATTTTTGGTTAACTCTCTCATTCTCAGTTCTAATGCTTATATTAATATGAAGGACATGTTTATAGATTGTGTATATTCCAAATGTTTAATAACATAAAGCTAAGTCAATGGAGTAAAGTAGTTAATTACCTTTAAATGGTCCATCTCTTACCTTCGAATCGAGCCAAAAAAATTCAATCATATCTGTTTTGTTGTTCTCGGGTCTCCATGGGTTGATTGGATCTCCGGTTTTGCATAGATTTTCTTCAATCGAAGTGTTGCTTATCATCTTGACATCGCCTCTTCGAATCAAAATTACAGCGCATCGTTGGATTAAAAATTAGAGCTCTTCGAAATTAGGTTTGGATCTTGACTAATCGAACATGGTCTTTACATTACGGGTCCCTAATCGAGTAAGAAATTTGAAGACTGAGGAAGAGAATCGTAAGAGATCGATAAAGAGAGAAGAAGAACGTGAGATTTGTTTTGAGAAGGACAGTTAATTGTTTTCTTAGGTCAAAAATGTAAACCGATAAAAATGGGCCTATGACTGTAGGGTTTATTTTGAGGACAAAACATTATTATTTTTTAACTAATAAAAGCCCACTATAATTTTAACCCAGACTCATGTTTAGTAAACTTTAGTCAATACATACAATCGCTAGAATAAATTACGAGTGGGCCAATGACTGTAGGATTTAGTCAACACATACATTCATCCGAATATAAATATTAAAAAAATCATAAACTTTACCATGATTTATCAAATATAGTGATCTAATTTGTCTAACTTTTTTTTGTCTTTTCCTTCTTTTTTTTTTAATTAATGGACACACATATTTAACCACACAAAAAATTGACAAATCTATAAAATAAATCAGATAACCAGAACTTCATTAAAAAAAATATTATTTACAACTTTTTATTTCCATTGTCCAAATAAAATTAAACACACTGCTTTTAATATTGATTTGATTTAATAGGTATATTATAATCAAATATCTTTTGTTCACTTATAAATAACTATAAAATTTAATTTTGTATTATTATAAATTGACAAATAAAACAATTACAAATTTACATCCACCATACAACGAAACTATCCAAATATACGTTTTCATAACTATATTTTTCTTTGACGAAAAAAAATACAAAAACAATTGCAATCATCTATATCTATATTTGCAATCATCTATAACTATATTTTTAAAAATAAAGCGTAAGACATCTTTAATGTAAACGATATAGTATATAATATAAATGTCTTAAAAACAAACAATTGCAATCATCTATATCTGGATATAATCAACTAATATTTTAAAATTATGGTTTTATAAAATTAATCGCCCCACGGTGTACCGCGAGTCAAAATCTAGGTAATATTACCGCGGATCAAAACATTAATCGACATCTTTCCATACTGCCAAGATTTATTCAAAGTTTCAAGATGGCAGAGGATGGTGAATTGAAGTTCTTTGATAGTCGGAATTGTTTTTTCCGTTATGGCACCGACATACTTTAATCCGTTAACGGTACCCATTTCTTCCCCTTTTTTTTTCCGATCAAATAGACTATATTACTTTTAATCACTTTATACCAACTTTATTAAACTATAAATCTTACTAACTATTACTAATGACATAAAATACATCCAAAACACTTTATCTTCTAACTATACACACATTTAAAACTTATATTTTCTTTTCACTAAATATATGTTCATAAATACTACAAATTTTATTTTTACAAAACTCAATATATTCAAATGAAATCAAATACAATATCTTATGTGTGTAATTTTATAAAATTGGAAATGGCATAATTTGAGTACAAGTTAGTGATGTATTGGAAATTTTTATAAATCTATATTTACTAAAATGAAATTGAAATTGACTAATTCCACCATTTATAGATATATACAACTCTAACTTTCAATACATACATTTAAATTAATTAAAAAAATTCATATATGTCAAATAATATATTTAAATTAATAATTTAAAAAAAATAATAATAATATTTAGGCCCGCGGTGTACCGCGGGTTAACATCTAGTACAATATAATATTCAAGTGTTTAAGTTAGATATAAAAATGTTTTATTTAACAAAGAAAAATCAAAACGGTGGCGCTATAATTAAGGATCGGCAGATTTTCTTGTTGGCTAATTAAAATAAAACAAATATAAATATATATTTTTCTCTATAAAAAATTTATCTACAAACAAATGTTAACCTTACAAATATAAACAAACATTTTGTGTTTGGTGAAAAAGAGAGAGTAGAGAGACAGACAGATCTCGTCCTTCAAGATGGTGCATCCGTATAGTTTAGAATTATTCCCAATTCGTCATCATACCCAGAATGGTATGAAGTATGGATAGAGGAGCGCATAAGGTCGTTCGATGACGCAGTGCAATCACTCGGAGGATTATTTAGTAATTAGTCTTATTCCTTCTCTAAATAATTTTTTTTGCTATGATTATATATATTAGTTAAGACATTCTGATTAATTAGTTTTTTTTTTGTTCTTCTTTGGCAGACGTTACTCCTAGGAGAGTAAAACAGGCGATGGACAAGGAAGATATTACCGTACAACATATCGGCAGCAGACTGCAGATTTTTTCAAAATATTACCGTGCAACATATCCCAATTCCAAACCCTTACCCTATCCCAAACCCAGATTTGGTGGCGTGGACAGATAGGCTTCGAGAAGTGTTTGATGATGCAGTTGCCAGACTTGGGGGATGTTTTAGTATGCAAATTGATTTATTATTCTTTTCTTTTGTTCATTCTTTTAACTCTTATTTTTAACTTTTTTTTGTTTTTTTTTAATGTTATTTTCATAGGCGGGAAATAGGTTATGAATACTGAAATAAAAAGACTAATAGTATAGAACATTTTTTTTTCACTTTGTTGTTAATCTTATACTGTATATTACAAACCATTATATCATAACTAGAATACCATAAACGTGTCAAGGTTTTGCCACAATAATATTCTTATGGTACATTTATATTACAAACCATTATTGCACATTCACATATTTTTTTAATTAGTGATTTACATCTTATCATCTGCATGCGTGTACCTTTTTAGTACAATAATAGTTATGATGATAGTTTGATTAGATGATAGTTTTTTAGTGACTATTTAACTGAGTTAGCACATATAAGCAACTCTGATCATACCATGATCCATATGCGCAATTATATTTTTTATGTTCACAGCTCGTCGCCAATGAACTGGTTGGCGACGAGTTGTGAATCGAGCTCGCTAAAATCCCAAGAGGAGACAACACGCTGTGTTTGATGACGCAGTGTCGAGACTTGAGGGATGTTTTAGTATGCAAATTGATTTATTTTATTTTATTTTGTTCATTCTTTTAACTCTTATTTTTCTAACTTGTTTTAAAATATATATATATTATTCCAGAGGTTAAACCGAAAGCGATCAACGAGCTAATTGGTGAAGAAGGGCTCGACGGTGATCAGATTCATGGTCGTTTACGACTTTTGAGAGAGCGCCAGAGAGACATAACAGAGAAATTAGACTTGGGCTGAAGAAAATATGAAGACGAGTAGACAATACTAAAGACTTTAAATAAAAAGAGTGATATCATAACTAGAATACATAAACATGTTAATGTTAGAGTTGTAAAAAAAAAACATGTTAATGTTAATGTTAGCCATAATAATATTCTTACTACGCATGAGTGATCATTTATAACAATCTACATTAGGCTGTAGAAAAAGAATTGTTTAGTGGTTTCTACTCTCTTTCTCTTCTTAACAAAAAGAATTGTTTAAAAAGAGTTAGATATCCCCCAAAAGAGAAAATATCTAACTCTTTTTTTTTTGGTAGTGGAATATCTAACTCTTTTTTGATTTCAAGCAAATCATAACTTTTTTTTTTTTGTCAACTTGAGAATTTAATATTTATATTAATTGGATGGGTTACAAAAGCCCAGAACTGTACAAAAAACAGAGGGCCCAACAAAAGGGATAGACCTCAGCAACGCTTCCAAAGAAACAAATCAATGGTCGCAACAAAAGAATGAAGCTCAAGCAGAGCTCAAACGCACAAAAAATCGGCAATTACCTAGAGAATAGAACTCTCTCACTGCAAAACAAACCAGATAACCAAAAGGGAAAGCCAGCCGCCACATAAGACCTCAGCATGCAATCCTCTGTTACACTTTTTGCAATGAGAGCAGCTCCTCTATTAGCAGAACCCTTCTCAGAAACCAAACTCCAATCATTAACCAACTTTAAAACCGATAGTACCTCCGTTGAGTGAAACATGAAAGAAAGCCGAGCTTTTGGCCTCTTGCTCCTACTAGCACACTATCTTCTAAAGAAAATCATAACTAAAATACAATAAAACGGGTTAATTCTAACTATGGTCGTAATCGAACACCTAGGAGTACCAAAACCGAGGAAGAAAGTTGAAGTACCAAACGACGACGTTTACAATTTTGTAAATTCCATAAATGCCCTCTCTCTAATTCTCTACCTCAAAGAATCGTTTTGGCTTTCATCAGCCGCTTCGTCTTTTTTCTTTCTTCAGTAACGGAAAAAATGGTTTCCGACTTGGACCTCGTGACCCGACTCCGTGAGATTCTCGGTAGCTCCGACCTAAACACGGCGACTCCGGCTAGCGTCCGTCGTCAGCTGGAGGCGGATTTCGGTATCGACTTGACCGATAAAAAAGCCTATATTAGGGATCAAATCGATACTTTCCTCGAGAGCAATGGCGCTGTAGAAGACAAACCTGAGAGCTCTAAGGCAGAAGAAGACATTAATGCCGACGAAATCAAGGCGGAAATTGAAGGAGGCGATGGAGAAGACCTCGACGGAGATGGAAGTGAAAGTGAGGAAGAGAAGGAACAACGGTAATTACTTTGTATTGACTGTGTTTTTTTGTAAAATTGGATTTTTCAAATTCGAGTATCAATGAATCAATGATCATACGCACACAAAAATTGAGTATTTATAGGAATCTTTAGCATTTTTCAATCAAAATGTTTCCGATGCATTTCTAATCAAAGACCACTTGTTTAGTGATTGAGTTTAAGGGATTATTGTTCATTGTTGTGTGTTTCTGTGTTAGGCCAGTAAAGGCCAAGAAACGAGGTGGTGGCTTTACCAAAGTATCTCAGTTATCTCCACAACTTGAGAAGGTTGTTGGAGCATCTCAGTTAGGTCGAACCGAGGTAATTGTCATCTTCTTCGACAACTGTTCTGCGATGTTTTGGAGCAGAAGAGTTTACTTCATTCTTTTATGTTGTGTATATTATCAGGTTGTGAAGAAAATGTGGGCCTATATCCGAGAGAAGGATTTGCAAGACCCAAAGGACAGGAGGAAGATAGTGTGTGACGAGTTGCTGCATTCGTTGTTCCGTGTAAAGACCATTAATATGTTTCAAATGAGCAAGGCATTAACCAAGCATATTTGGCCCTTAGGTGATGGAGATGGTAATTTCCTTGTCATAATACTGCATTTACAATTCAAAAAACTTCACTAGATTTGATAGTGTGGTGTTTATGATAATTATAGCGCTGTCATTTTGAATTCTTCATGGACTTGATGCTTCTGGTACAGTTACATTGGAGTACATGATATCTATGTATATCCCTAGTCTTCCTGTTTTGTCAGCCATTGATCCCAGATAGCTCGATCTCTGAAATCAAGTACCCCACTGTAGAGAGTGATCATGTGTAATTGTGTGGAAATAATGTTCATGAGCTATTAATAGTGTTGAATATTAATATTTTCCACTCAGTGTTGTGTTGTTAGGATGCTTATATATATTTGTGCAAGAGATCTCTCAAATGAACATCAATTTTCTGGTTGGAGACGGGAGTTCCTGAGTTTGTGTTACCCAAGTACAATGAAATGATTTATTTTTTCCAGGGTGTGCTAACAATGTGAAAGAAGAAGATGAAGTAGTAGAAGATGAAGATGAGGCATCAGAGGGAACAGATAAGAAAAGGGAGCAAAGCGAAGAAGTGGAAGAGAATAAGGAAGAAGAAAGTGAAGAGGAGGAAGTTAGGAGTTTGCGGAAACGCAAGAGAAAAAAGTTAGTTTTCTCTTTCACCCGCAGTTGTATTGTACAGCTAGTTATCGCCAGCCTGTGCCCATAAACTAAGTTTTCTCTATTAAATAGGCCTGCCAAGTCAGTAGAGAAGCCCAAAAGAAAAGGAGGCGGCGGCTTTGCTAAAGTTTGCAGCCTCTCGCCGGAGCTTCAGGCATTTACTGGGGTGACAGAATTAGCCAGGACAGAGGTACATGTCTGACTTAAGGGAATTAGTTTCTCTTCGTTATATAACTCAAGCTCTGAGCCTAAATTTCAAAGCTACTTGTCTAATTTTCTTAACCAATTCCCTTGTTTTGACATTTTGTCTGGTGAATGGTTTCAGGTTGTGAAAATGCTTTGGAAGTACATAAAGGAGAACAATTTGCAAGATCCGAATGATAAACGCATAATAATGTGCGACGAATCATTGCGATCTTTATTCCCTTTCGAGTCCATCAATATGTTTCAAATGAGTAAACTGCTAACGAAGCACATATGGCCTTTAGAGGATAATGCAGGTATTTGATGACTGAAAGTTCTTACATATTCTGGGAGCCATCATTTTCCGGTTTAGGCTTTTTAACCGTATACTAATTGTTGTTTGTCTCTGGTCTAGGAGAATCAGTTAGCTCTAACTCTCCAAAGAATGGAAAGCAAAAAATGGAATCAGATGGAGGTAAGAAAGCTAGATGAATTTAAACTTCTCCCTTTTCTCATCACGGTATAAACAAAGCATATGCATTCGCTCAGACACAGATAGTGAGGAACCAAATGAGAAAGATAAAAAGCAGAGGAAAGAAGTTCTTGCTCCCCTTCCACTTTCAGTTGCTCTTGTCAAGTTCTTGGGTAATAATGGAGAAAGCTCGCTGTCGAGGGCGGATGTGGTAAAGAGATTGTGGGAGTACATAAAACAGAATGATCTTCAGGTATACCACTTGCTCTCTACACTCTGGTTTTCCTTAATTATTTGCTTCTTTACACCATTTTCATAACTTAGGATCCTTCTGACAAGAGGAGAATCATATGTGATGAGAAGCTGAAAGAACTCTTCGAAGTTGATTCATTCGAAGACACGTCCGTCTCAACACTTCTGACCAACCACTTCATCAACGCCGAACAATGACTCTTTAGGAAGTGCCAGTTTTGATAATGTTTTCCACGTAGGCAAAACCCAGGTCTCCAAAAGGTCGGTTTGATTTCCTGGACAAATTTTTTTGGATCAGTAGAGGTCGGTTCAGGACTTATAGCGCGACAAAGTCATTTTGGATTTGATTTGGTCTCCTCTTTCACTGGTAAGTTAAAGACTGAAAGGTATCTCGATTGTGAGACTTGTAAGCATTGCGTTTTCTGAATTTGCTTGCAAGTGCAGCCTTTTTGAGTTCTTTCAAATGTTTGCCCTTTTGGTATATAGTGACAAAAACCAAATTCAAGGATAATATATGTTTTAAGACCAAACCAATTGTTTAAATCATTTCCTCTTTTTTTGCATATTCTTAGAAGTACAGTGAATTTTGTTATGCATCAGAATCCGAAATGAGAAAAACTTTGTTACTAGGTTTTGTCGCTGATAGAAAATGCTCAGCGGTTGGTCATAGTGTTTTGTTACAGCTCATATAGTTTAAGTTCTCTATTAAGGTTATTAGTATTTACAAAACTTTATAAGTGTTTACCATCAAATCTGTCAAAGATTATTCCATTGCCTATGCAACTCTACTATCTAGGTTCATACCTAAGTTCTTCTGTATGTGTGTTTCATTAAGCTACTGGGCTTTGGCCTCTCAAAACTACTAAAGCTGGGCTGGGCTTTTGTAATCTTTATTTCCTTATGCATTTAAATAGAAAGCCTTTTTCAAAAAAAAAAAAAAAAAAAAAATCATAACAAAAAAAAGATATATGAATCTTTATACTAGTTCTTTATAAATAAAAACGAAACTAGTTCCGATAGTTTGAGAAAAACCTAGACCATCGAAAAAGCAATACAGTTTGTTATGCGACGAGAATTTTAGACTTTTAACGAACGGATTGATGTAGCCTGTGCCCTGTAGTAAAAATTGCAATAATTTGAAGTAAGAAGTATTCAATGGTAAATAAGATTTTCCGAAGAAAAATATTTTGTGTGATAACTTCATTTTTACGCTATATCAATCCATTTGAGATTACGTCACCTTTAACTAAAAAAATATTAATTAATTGGATGGTCTGTATTAATAGTTTAATGGTTTTCAATTAAATCAAATTTAGAAACAGAAATATGATTAATCAAATTTTGATTGAGCAGTAGTAAATGAAAAGTTTCTCTTTCATTATTGTATTTGAAAAAAACTTATGTCAATTAATGTATATTGTGTATATTTCATTTTATATATGTAAGAAATGTGTTATTAGAAAGAGATACTGTAGCTAATAATTTGAGAGGAAAAAAAGTTAAAATACACAGTCAAACCTGGAAGCTTAATTTTCTCGTTAAAAATCCATAATTTGCGCGAAAAAACAAGGCTTCAAAAGTTTTTCCATGTTTTAAAATTATTTGGAGAGTGAGAAATAACCGAGAAGAACAAATCAAATCAATAGAAAAAAGTATAAACAACATCAAAACTATTCAGTATTGATATTTGTTTAGATTGAAAAAAAAAACTTAACTTAAAATATAAATACACAAAAAAAAACCAAAAAAAATTTGTTAGAGATTTTTATAGAGTAGTGAGAGCAAAATGGCACAGATGCAGCGAGAAGAAGTAGAGTCCATCACGACGGAGAAGAAAGGATTAGACGGAGGCGGCGGATCTTCAGGCGCTCAGGCCACGGCGTTCAAATTCAACGCTCAGGCTCCGGAATTTGTACCACGATCACATACCACCGCACCAGCACCGCAGGTTTCTCCGGTGTCCGGTTACTTTTATCCTTGTTTCCACTACAACGGCGGTTGCATAGGAGGATGCGGCGGAGGAGTCTGCGGTGGTGGAGGGACCGGCGTTGGTACTCAATCTTCGGATTGGATCTACGTGGGAGGAGGAGATCCTACTGCTCAGCATCAACATGTTCATGATCCGGCTGCTGCGTTTTACATTTCGAATCCGGCGGTTCAGTTTCCGGCTAACCAGAACTCGTCTTCGTCGTCGAAGAATCTGCTTTCCGATGATCTCCGTCTTAAGATCGTCAAACAGGTTTTTACTTTTTATTTCACCTTGTTCACTTTTTACTTTATTGATACGTAAAATTATGAAAATCATTATGCCATAAGATCAGATTTACAATTATTATCATATGATTTACACTTTTACAGAAACCTAACTTGACTCACAAGAAACCACTTTTATAGGTTGAGTACCAGTTTACTGACATGAGTCTCCTAGCCAACGAGTCCATTTCAAAGCATATAAGCAAAGATCCTGAAGGTTATGGTAAGCTCAAATTGTTATATATATGATCCTTGAGATTTTTGCAAATACATATGTGAAGATTTGTTTTGTATTCATATGTTTAAAACGCAGTGCCCATATCATATATTGCTTCGACCAAGAAGATCAAGGCTTTAACGAGTAACCACCACCTAGTTTCACTTGCTCTACGCTCCTCTTCAAAGCTTGTAAGCTTCTTCTTTCTTTATTCTCTACTTACCAACTAGATATTATAAGATCCAAGTATACTGAGAGATCTTTGTAAACAAAATTAAGGTTGTGAGTGAAGATGGTAAGAAAGTTAAGCGTACAAGTCCATTTACTTATAGAGACAGAGAGGAATTGCAGGTAATTAAAGTTGAATATCATGAAAGAGCTTCATCGTATTTATAATCAACTATATATCAAGTTCTTGTTTCTGTTTATTGTTCTGCAGGGCAGGACTGTCGTTGCAGAGAATTTGCCAGATGATCATTCTTACCAGAACCTTGAGAAGATCTTTGGAGTTGTTGGAAAGTAAGAAGGCTTTTTACTTTCATTTTAAACATTGCTTCTCTAAATCAATAAACAACAACTCTGGATTTAATTTGTTTCAGCGTCAAAGCCATTCGTATCTGTCATCCTCCAGAATCCAACTCCTCTCGTCCAAAAGGCGATTTCTTGATGAGCAACAAAGTAAGTACCATGATCTTTTTTCTATTTATCACTTGGAATTAAAGAGCTTAACATATTCTTCTTGTTTTACTCCAAAGATTCACGCCCTTATCGAGTATGACAACACTGTTATCGCAGATAAAGCTGTGAGTAAATCTTTACTTCAATTATCTTTTGATCCAAAGCTCTGTATATTAGTTTCTGAGATATATAGCAAATGTGATATTGATACCAGGTGGAGAAGCTGAACGATGAAAGAAACTGGAGGAAAGGGCTTCGTGTGAGGCTGCTTCTTAGATGTTCGGTAAGTCTATATATTCTCTTCTTAAGACACACATTTCTCTCGAAACGCTTTGAGATTAACTGCGTTGATATAATTTGTGTGCTATACAGCCCAAATCAGTGCTCAAGAACCGAAGAAACTTCGATGGAATTCTCATCGATGATGAACTTCCTTCTTATGAATCTGGAGAAGACTCTCCGCGTCTCCATTTAACCGAATCACAGCTTGATAACGACGTTAGTACTATTTCTTAAATCCCACGGAATGTTTTTCCATATAATACACAAACTAAAATTTCTTGGTGTGCACGTTAGGGTGATGACAACAATGTTGGTGGACTGTGGGGTAAAGGGAGAGGAAAAGGACGAGGACGATCCCCAAGAAGCTACGCAGTAGGAGGAGGAGGACGTAGCTTTGGGATTGGGCTCGGAGTCAGCCTCGGGATACCGAGCCTAGGCTTACACGAATCTTCGTCTCCTAAAACAGCAACAAAGGGACCAAGAATGCCTGATGGAACCAGAGGCTTCACCATGGGACGTGGCAAACCTTCCATCTCACTCTCACCAAACAATCTCTAAATAGTTACCGACCACAACTACTACTATTTATTATTGATTTATTATAATAGAGGTAAAATTAAGTTTTAGAGTCAATTAACCAAATAATACATATGGATTGGTGTTTCTAATATGCGTTCAAAAGAAGCAAGGCACATGACTTTGGGAGAAGATAGTGAAGGCATGGTGACGTTTTTTGAGGGTTCGTTTTATATAACTTCTTTCATTCTTTCAATTAACTTGGGCAGTTTCTTTTTTTTTTTTTTTGTATATTTAATATGTTTTGTTTTTGTGAGATTATTATTATTGAATAATAAAGGGTTTATAGCACAAGAATTGCAACCCTGCTTTGTATCTCAACTCTTTGTTTTGATTTAGATGAATAATGGATTCGAATAAGTGACTGAAAGATAGGTTGAAAACTACTCAATTTTCTTTCTAAAGAAAACTGAAAAGACATGATGAATACTCCCTCTCTTCCTAAAAGATTGATTTTCTATAGATTTCATATATATTAAGAAACAATCATTGTTTAATTATTTGATAATTATTTATTTTATAAAATATTTTTTAATAAACTATGAACCAACAGTAATCTAAAACAACTAATTATATATTTTCAATCATTACGTCTTGAAATCTATGATTTATTAGTATCAATTAATAAAAAATAAAAATAAAATCTAGAAATTCAATCTTTGATCACTAGAACATCAATCTTCTAGGAAGAGAGAGAGTAGTTTATAAAAAGCACACGCACAAGAAATGCATCCTAACTATTTCTAGTAACTTGTATCCTTTGACTTGGTATCTACCTCTGGCATTTGACATGATATCATGAGAATAATTTCTCCAACTTGAAGCAAGCAAGAAACCGTAAGAGTGACTTGACATGAGCCCCAAATGGGTTTGATATGCACTTGGAATCTAGTCATCTATCTTTGTTTTTTTGATTGAAGAGAAATTATAGTCTGAACTCTCGGTTGGCCGGCGAAAAAAACTAGGACTCTTAACATTCCGTTTCACTTGTAAACATATCTTGTGGAATTCTTCCTGGGGCATAGGCTCTTCTCCCTCTAAAAGCTTTTCCCAAAACCATGCTTCTTGTACCATAGGAACTGGCCGAGGTTCTTGATCAGCCAATACATAGAAAACACTTAAATACATTACCCAATCCAAGCTTCGAATATACTTGATGAACTCCGTGTCTTTATCATCTTTGACGATTAACATCAAAACAGTTTTATCATAATTATAGACATCGCGATGTCCCAATGTTTATTACCTTTGGATACGAAGGTGATTCCAGCATCCTTATAACCAGAACCGGCGCAGGAATTGTAAGGGTCACAAGCCCAAAAAAATTTAGGGCTAATTTTCGTTATAAAAAAAAGCAACAGATGGGGGAAAGAATCGAACCGAAGATCTCTAATTAATTTCTGAAGTCTCATACCACTAGACTAATAATAACTTTAGGGTTTAGATCTGTGGCTGTGCAAGAGGTGGCTATAAAATATTTGTTAATTAGTTGGTGTATGTAATTGCACATAACAATTAATCAAATTAGATGATTTTTCCGGTTTACCAAACAACCCAACTCTGGTCTAGCCTTTTCAATTCTAATTCAATAGAAAACTTATCTTGACTCACAAGAAAGCATATAAGAAAAGACCCTCAAGGTAAGCTCAAATTCTAAAATCCTTACTTTTAACTATCTTTTGATCCAAAGCTCTGTATATTAGTTTCTGAGATATATAGCAAATGGGAGGCTGCTTAGATGCTTGGTAAGTTTATATATTCTCTTCTTAAGTCGCACATTAACACTATGAGATTGCGTTGGTATATTTTGAGTGCTACAACCCAAATCGGTGCTCAAGAACCGAAGAAACTTCGATGGAATCCACATTGACGATGAACTTCCTTCTTATGAATCTGGAGAAGACTCACCGCATCTCCATTTAACCGAATCACAGCTTGATAACGACATTAGTACTATTGCTTAATCCCCACGAAATGCTTTTCCATATAATATATAGAAACTAAATTTTCTTGATGTGCACGTTAGGGTGATGACAACAATGTTGGTGGACTGTGGGGAAAAGGAAGAGGAAAAGGACGAGAACGATCCCCAAGAGGCTACGCAGTAGGAGGAGGAGGGCGTAGCTTCGGGGTTGGGTCTGCAGTCAGCTCGGGATACCAAGCCTAGGCTCACAACAATCTTCGTCTCCTAAGTCCTAAACGCAACAAAGAGACCAAGAATGCCTGATGGAACTAGAGGCTTCACCATGGGACGTGGCAAACCAGCTTCCATCTCGCACTTTCACCTAACAAATCTTGTAAATAATTCCCTACCTCAACGACTACTAATAATATTATTATTATTTATTGTTCATTTATTATTAAAGAGGTAAAAGCTATAGAGTTAATTACATATGGGCTGTTTTTTTTTTTAAGATGTATTCATAGAAGCAAGGCACATAACTTTGGGAGGAAGAAACTATAGTGTTTGATGAAACTACGAAGTCACGGTGACGTTTTTTGAGGGTCATATTTTTTTGTATGTTTTGATATATAAAATTTTGTGAGTTTAACTGAATAATGAAGGGTTTATAGCACAAGGATTGCAACCCTGGTGTACATGTATCTCAAACTCTTTATTTTGATTTAGTTGACTAGTTAAATAATTGGTCGAATAAGTGACGGGGATCCGGAAGATTGGTTGAAAACTAATCTATATACCAATTTCTTTCTAAAATAACTGGAAAGACAAATGAGTATTGGGATAGCAAAAGCTCATGAGTTTTTACGCCATGATTGTCTGGCTAGTAATTTCATAACCTATAGTTGTCAAACAAACTAAATTAAAGTATCATATTAATTATAATGAAATCTGTAATCTTTAAATGAATTACAAAACCTAATTTTACTCCCAAATTAATATAAAACCTTCAAAGGATGGAAATTGTTGGTCATGTATTTCAATGAAACCAAACATGCAACACCACTAAACCAACTTCATAGTTATTGTCTATACTATATTACGTACCGATGGTAGATGAAAATAATGATAAATAATTAAACTGATATCTACGATCTTGTAAAATATTCGAGAGAGATTATCAAATCAAGAGTTAGTGAGAGAGAAAACAAACTTAGAGATGTGGATCAAGTATATTGAAAATGATGAAATCTTATTAAAAATTGAAATACGCCCTGTCCAGATACAATGAAGTTGTTAGGTTACAACATCAGCATGTTTCAAGAACAAGCAGGTACATCCAATCAATTTATATAACGTAATCCTGATTTTCAGAGCAATATTATTTGTATGATCTTATATAAAATCTTAATTTAGTATCTTGTAGTATTTATCACAAGATTGAGCTAACAAAAGTTAATTCCCATTTTTGAAATGATAACGTCCATAAATACATTTCAAAACGTTTTTATTTCTTATAAGATTTTTTTGAATTAAAACGAGATCTTCACCATTCACCAATTTATATTAACTTTTGTTTTGGTTTTGATATTCTTACCAATAGAAAAAGACAATATCAACAACAAAAAACAAGAAAAAAAAAAGACAAAAAATAATGATAGATAAAATACAAAACAAAAGAAAACGTATAGTATTGCTTAAGAGAAAGAACAAACATATGTGAATACATAAAAAAAAAAAGGGACAAAAGTAGAAAGACGTGGCAAAAAGCAAACTAAATTTCCACCAATCCACATCTAATCTAACCTTCTTCATCAAATGGAAGCAACTTCACACCCGCAGATTCTGCCATGTGGCTTCTCTCTCTTCTACAGCTCACTTCTTCTCTCTCTCTCTCTCTCTCTAACTAAATTGAAACCAAACCAGAGTGCTTCAATGTCATTGCTGTGATTCTCTTTAAGTCCAGACATAACTCCCATATCTTCTTCTTCTTCTTCTGTCTTAATTTTTTTCTTAAATTTTCCAGAGAAGAAGAAGAAGAAGGACTATGGGAGGCTGTACTTCCAAACCCTCCTCCTCCGTCAAACCTAATCCTTACGCACCCAAAGACGCGGTTCTTCCAAATGACGATTCTACCCCTGCCCATCCCGGGAAATCACCGGTTCCTTCTTCTCCCGCCGTAAAGGCTTCTCCTTTCTTCCCTTTTTACACGCCTAGTCCCGCCCGGCACCGCCGTAACAAGAGCCGTGACGGTGGAGGAGGAGGGGGAGAGAGTAAGAGCGTTACCAGCACTCCGCTCCGTCAGCTCGCGCGTGCTTTTCATCCTCCGTCACCGGCGAAACATATAAGGGATGTTCTGCGGCGGAGGAAGGAGAAGAAGGAGGCTGCTCTGCCTGCGGCGAGGCAGCAGACAGAGGAGGAGGAGAGGGAAGAGGTAGGGCTGGATAAAAGATTTGGGTTCTCGAAGGAGTTACAGAGTAGGATTGAGCTAGGGGAAGAGATTGGGCGAGGGCATTTTGGGTACACTTGCTCTGCTAAGTTCAAGAAAGGAGAGCTCAAAGATCAGGAGGTTGCTGTTAAAGTCATCCCAAAATCTAAGGTCATTTTTACTACTAAACTTTTCCAAATTCTTAAGTTTTGTGCTTCAATTGGCTCAAGTGCTTCATTTCATTGTAGTGATAGCTAAATTGACTGATTTGGTTAGTAGATGTTAAACTGTTTCAAGGTAGAAGAATAAACCAGCATAGTATTAGTCTCTTTTTTGCTTTATGATGAACCTGTAATTTGATCATTACGTTCTCTTGATTTTTCTTTTCTTCTCTACGAGCTTACTGTCCTCTTGTTTTTGAGCCATCTTTTTGGAAAATTAATAGCGTATGTGGACTTTCAAGCTTAGAAGAAATTAATAGAAAAACAAGTAATAGTGAACTCGGATGAGGTTGAAGACTTGAAGTTTTTCAATGACACTAATGTTTCATCCATGTTTTTCAATAGCCAAGTTTTCAATGGTTGTAGTTGTAGATAATAGCTTTGCTGACTTTTATGTGAAAATTTCTAAACGTTTTAAATTGGTCAATAAATTGGAAGGATGGGCATTTATGCTTATTGTCATTAAGCAAATGAAATCTCTATAGTCCTTATTTTGATGACTAACGAAGAATGTTAGCTTAATCCATAATAGACTGTTGCTCATCAGTTTTGGTTTGGCAGATGACATCTGCAATATCTATAGAGGATGTGAGAAGAGAAGTGAAAATACTGCGGGCGTTATCTGGACATCATAATTTGGTACAGTTCTATGATGCGTTCGAGGACAATGCCAACGTTTACATCGTTATGGAGTAAGACAATCATGTGCTTATATATTCCTGTGTCATGTTGAATCTACTAGGAGAGCTATCAGATTCTTATTTTCTTGGCTTACTTCAAAATGTTCAGCTGTGAATTAACATTTACTTTCTTTCAACTTTCAGATTATGTGGAGGTGGTGAACTCCTTGACAGGATACTAGCAAGGTCTGCTATTAAAGATCATTATGAAATTTGACAACTTATGGTCAGACATTTATCTTAGAGATGTTCTATTGCCTGTCTAACTGTTTCATCTTATAGGGGAGGAAAATACTCTGAAGATGATGCAAAAGCAGTGCTTATACAGATCCTTAACGTTGTAGCTTTCTGTCATCTCCAAGGAGTTGTTCATCGAGATCTAAAACCAGAGGTGAACCACACTTATGTCATTGTTATTCCCTTCAAGAAAAGATATTCTCTAAGTTGAATACCAATCTCAAATTCGAAACACTTTCATGTCTCAGAACTTCTTGTACACTTCCAAGGAGGAGAATTCTCTGTTGAAAGTCATAGATTTTGGCTTATCGGATTTTGTCAGACCAGACGAAAGATTAAATGACATAGTGGGAAGTGCATATTACGTAGCCCCTGAAGTTCTACACAGATCTTATACCACGGAAGCGGATGTATGGAGCATAGGAGTAATTGCATACATTCTCCTATGTGGAAGCCGTCCTTTTTGGGCAAGAACTGAATCAGGAATTTTCAGAGCAGTTCTAAAAGCTGATCCGAGTTTTGATGAACCTCCTTGGCCTTCGTTATCCTTTGAGGCAAAAGATTTTGTTAAGAGATTATTGTACAAGGACCCTCGGAAAAGAATGACAGCCTCTCAAGCTTTGAGTCAGTAATCTTTAAAATCTCCACATCTTTCTTTATTTATCTTCTGTTTCTAGCTGTCAAGAATCACCAGTTGAAGTTGCTCTACGTTTTTTCGATTTTTACAGTGCATCCTTGGATCGCGGGTTATAAGAAAATAGATATCCCATTTGATATTCTGATCTTCAAGCAGATCAAAGCATACTTGAGATCTTCGTCTTTGCGCAAAGCTGCTTTGATGGTACGTTTATTTTCTAACCTTATTACTGTTCCTAAAGAACATTAGGATGTGTTTGATTTTTGTTGCCTTTGTATCTAGTTTGCTCCAAATTTTATTGTTGACCCTAACTCTTTTACTCACTCCAGGCTCTGTCCAAGACATTAATTACCGATGAACTTCTTTATCTGAAAGCGCAGTTTGCACTCTTAGCACCCAACAAAAATGGCCTCATCACTTTAGATAGCATCAGACTGGTATGCGCCTTCTCTTTCTCTCTGTCTCTCTCTCTCTGGTAGAGAACAAACAGCTCAAAGCTAGATTTATTTCTGTTGGACAGGCACTTGCTACAAATGCAACAGAAGCAATGAAGGAATCACGGATCCCGGACTTTCTTGCGTTGGTATTGTCTCGTTTCTGTTCTTGTCCTTTTGCTTAATCTGTTTAAGATACAATACAAGGTTGGTTAACGAAAATTTGGTGTTGGGAAATGACAGTTAAATGGACTTCAATACAAAGGGATGGATTTTGAAGAGTTTTGTGCAGCTTCCATTAGCGTTCACCAGCATGAGTCTCTTGACTGTTGGGAGCAGAGCATTCGTCATGCTTATGAGCTATTTGAAATGAATGGAAACCGAGTTATTGTCATCGAAGAACTCGCTTCTGTAAGTTTTTACTCTTCACTTGGAAATTCGGAACTTGCTTTCATCATGCTTCACAATTTATTCAGTTAATTCCTAAACTAAAAGGAACATAAATGTTTTGTAGGAACTTGGTGTTGGATCATCTATCCCGGTCCATACCATTCTACATGACTGGATAAGACACACAGATGGGAAGCTGAGTTTCTTGGGTTTTGTCAAACTGTTGCACGGTGTCTCTACTAGACAACCATTAGCGAAAACACGATGAAGAAAGTAACTCGGCATTATAACGGATTCGAAAGAGGAAGAACATACAACTGCAAATGGATGGATGTCAAGAACTTTATTGATTCTGGAGTGGTATTGGGAATTGGAATTGTTTTCAAGACCCATTCCTATGTTTATAGTGTTAGAAAGAATGCTAAGTTCCGACAAAGAAAGAGTATCCAGAAAAATCGGACAGGCCTTGAGAGTTGTATAATAAGATGATAATCCATAGTGATATGTTCTTCCAAATTATGGAAGACAGATATTAAGAACATCCCTTTCTCTTTCTTTTCATATGACTATCTCCATATATTCAGGAAAAAGTCTCAGATTCCATTCCGATGAACAAGTCAGATACATTTCGCTCACAATGTGCCACAAAACACATCATAAACCCATTCAAGTCACAAAACTGACAGTTGGGATCATCGGCAACAGACAGCTATTTAACATTTCTAAATCCGAAAAACTTACTTCTCAAGATTCCATAATCCATATCAATAGAAGTCATACATTTAATTCTCAATGTGTTACAGAACAAACCATAAACCCATTCCTAAGTTACAAAACTGACAGTTGGGATGGCTAAGCAACAAAGTCAGCTTTTTTAACATTTCTGAATCCTCAAACTTTCTTCTCAAGAGGATTGAATCTACAATGGCTGCTATCTTTTTTTTTTTGAGCAAAGATAGAAAGTTCCAATTGTTGACCAAGATCTGTTCTCATGTCTTTACCTCGAGGAGAGTCTCTGGTGCAAATCTTCTGCCAATGCTTGTCTCAAACTCTCCCCGTAATAGTAAAACTGCCTCTCACTCTCCAAAACTCTTGCAGGCGTTCCAGCTTCATCAGGATCCTTCCAAATCTCCGGTTCGGGTTCTCTAGCAATCTGACAAAGATTATGCAACACACAACAAGCCACAATAGTCTGAGGAGCATGGTTCACTCCAACATTCAAACTCTGAAGAATCTTCCATCTAGCCTTGAGTAATCCAATAGCTTCCACCACAACTGACCTTCCTTTCATTAACATTCCGTCGAATAGATTCTCTGGTGGCGAACCAGAGCCATTTGGTGAAAAGGGAGTCATCAGGAATGAGAGAAGAGGATAACACCAATCTCCAACAATGTATGGTCTCACATGGTGACCTCTAATATTGATAACTTTCTCCCAAACAATGTCTCCTGAAGTAAGCCTCTTATAGAGAAGACTATCTCTGAAATGAGAAGAGTCGTCTTCTCCACCTGGAGCTTTCACACAAACGTCCCAAAAGATCTTCTTGTGATCAGCAACGACCTGAAGCAAAACGGCGTCGTATCCGTACTTGCAACCGTAAATGTTTCTAGGGTTTAGTTTCGTGCGGCGTCTGAGCTTCACCGGAGTACTATCAATGGCGCCGCAGATGTTGGGGAGAGAAGTGAGTTCTTCGAATCCTTGAGTCGTTTCGATCAATCGGCGTTTTCCGACGGGGATCTTGATGAATTCTGGGTAGAGCTTGGTGGCTAAGAGACGCGTGACCATGTTTGTGATCTTGGAGATGAGGTATGGATCGAGAGAGTAGCGAGAAGCTAGGGTTTTAGCTGAGCAGCCATGAGCTAGACGAGAGAGAACCATTGCGACGGCGTAATCGGCTGGGAGAGAGAGATTTGAAGCGGTGATGAAGGGTTTGAGCTTGTCGACGACGGTGATGAAGACTGGGTAAGAAAGACCGTACAATGAGCGCCAACGAGCGTCGCGGAGAGGCGCATCGAGAGACCAGATGTGGTCGGTGGTTAGGGCACGGAAGGCAGCGACGGAGTAATCGCCGTCGGGAAGAGGTGGAGGAGGGGAAGGGGAAGGAGAAGTGGAGGAAGATGAGGATTCGCCGGAAGATCTGGTGACGGCGAGGAAGGAGAGGAGAGATGCGAGAGTGAAGAAGAGTAAAGGTGCGGCGGAGGAAGTGGAGAGGAGGGAGGAAGGTGTAGTTGAAGACGGTGAAGATGTGGAGGCGGAAGAGAAGAGAGTGCTTGTGGGATCTAATGAGTTTTGAAGATGGAGAAGGTGTGAGAGCATCGCCATGAAAGCTTCTTCCATCTTCACTCTCTTTGTTCTCACCGGAGAGGTTGAGAGAGTAGAAGAAGAAGAAAGAGAGAGGGCTTATAGTTAAGTTTTCAAAATTAAAGGGAGTTAAAAGGAGAATTTAAAAGTTTCGGGTTTGTTTTCTTAATTTCATGAAGTTTCAGGCTTTATGAGCAATTCGTAGAAGGTAAATGATTTTTAAGCGGAATTTTGGATCTAACAAGTCACAACCATTATATTAGTCTGAGACAGTAACCAAAATTTTTGAATCTTCTCCAAACTCTCCAAACAACAAGTCTATCAAAATCAAATCCATCTAACAAAATTCTCCTTTCGACTACAGGTTTTAGATTTGATGTGTGAAACCATGGTGATGATGATCACTTGATGAGTCTCTTCAATTCTCCCCATGATAGTTGTTGGAGTCGTGGTGGTTAGCATATCCTCCTCCATTGTTGTAACCTTGTCCTCGTGAGTATCCTCCATTCCACTGCTGTCCCGAGTCTCCTCTCCACTGCCACAAGTTGAGGACATTATGAGAATTAAAGGGAACTCTATTGCCGGTCATGGTGAGATTCAAGTTTAGTTTAGTTCAAGACAAGTAGTGGGAAAACAAAGAGCACTTGATGGGACGAAATTGTCAGGATAAACAAAATCATGTCGACATAAGACCATGTTCAGGGTTGGTGACACAAGTTGGACATGGAAACATGTATTAGATATTCTCCCACTTGCCTAAGTCAAAAGAGAAAAGGAAGGGAAGAGAAAAGGAAGGGAAGGTGCTATATTCCACCAGCTATTGTCAACTACTGACTTCATTTTTTATAACAAAAAAAACAACTATTCACAAAGTTTGACCCTAGCAAAATACTCAAAATTTACTCTTCTACTGATAGAATGCACTAGATTTTACCTGTTTGTTCGGGCTTCGTCCCCAAGAGAGTCTGACAGTGTTCTTGCCGATGACTGTCCCATTCAAAGTCTCGATAGCATCTTCAGCACTCTTCCTATCAAAACCAAAGGCAAGTCGCTTTGAATTACTCGTTTTTCGCTATTAGATAAGCCCCTACAGGATGCTTAATCATATGATTGACAAAGCCAACACAACTAAAAAGATGAAGACCGCACCTGTCAGCAAATTGGACAAATCCACATCCTTTGCCTACTGGGATCTTCACTGAAACAACCTCTCCAAATTGGGAAAAAGGTTGTCTGAGGTCTTCATCAGTAACATCAGCATCAATGCCACCAACGAATATCTGCAGTAGAATAAACTAACATGAGCAACAAGAACAAATAGAGCTTGAATAATGCTTACATATAACTAAATATGACAACTCACTGTTGCGTTAGTTGATTCGCCATCAGACTGCGAGCCATGTGCCATGAAACCATTTGCTCCATGTCCACCAGCCAGTATCAAAGCTATTCCGATGAAAACATGAAAACGTTATAGTTCAAAAACTCTGTTGAGTGCAACAAGACTCATTAAGTTGTTAACTTTAAAGTCTTATGGATAAAAACTGACTCGCCTCTCGCCCTAAAACTAGTATACTTGATAGTAAGAATCAGAGAGTAAAACTAGTTGCAGAGAGAAGTATGAAAAAGAAACCAAACAACAAATGAAATTTCGATATCCAAATTGCAAAATGCATTAGGTCAAGAAGATATGTCACAGTCTACCTTGTGAAGAATGTTGCTGCTGATTAGCAATCGCTCTTTTGGGAGTTGCAACACCTACACGCATTTGCCTGTTCGAACAGTAAGCTCCATTCATTTCTGTCAAAGCCCTTGATCTCTCATTTTCATCACCAAACCTCACAAAACCGTAACCTTTGGACCGGCCGGTGTTGGAATCAATCACAACTTTGGCGCTTTTGACAGAAGGATACCTATCAAAAAAGGTCTCATGCAATAAAGCATCAGTGACATCTGGAGACAAATCTCCAACAAATATGGATAGATCTGGACCATTTTCCACTGCTCTTTTTTCACCAGTACTAAAAGATGCCCAGTTTAGCCGGAAGGGCTGGTCTGAGTTTGGCATCACCGAACCACTATAGTTCTGAAGAACTTCTTCAGCTGCAGCACGTGAAGGAAACTCAATAAACCCATACCCTTCTGATTGAGAAGTGAGCTTGTTACGTATAACTTTCACAGAAGAAACCTGCTCATCACCAAAAACAAGAAACTTCAGAGAAAGACCAAAACAGAACATATATGTATGTATAATTCATGAAAAGTGAAAATCTTATGCAATTATTCTCTTTCATACCAGAAAAGTTTAACTAAACGTGGCAAGGTACAAGAGTACTTTTTTGCCTAACGAAATCAGAACTTGTCCTGTCCTTTTCAGGTCAATGCTGTTCTCCATTACCCTATTTGTTTCTACGCAAATTCAATAGATCCATTGGATCTAATCTAATCTAATTAAGTAATTTTTTTAAAAAAAGCAACTTGGTTTAACAATGAATCAAAACACAAGAACATGTCAAAGGTTTGCAAAAAGGATGAATCTTTACCATATTTACAAGTAACAATCTAAATCCAAAACAGAGGACCAATGAAGGGGAAGCTCAAAAACAAGATAATACCTCGCCGGTGTGAGAGAAGCAAGAATGGAGATAAGTCTCGTCCATCCAATGAAGAAGATCACCAACCCAAAGAGTCTTGACATCATCTCCAGATCCACGGTCAAGAGGCTTGTGTTGTTGCTGATGCTGTTGATAAGACCCGTATTGGTGAAGCTGAGGATGATGATGCTGATAAGGACCTTGATTATACGGAACGTATTGGTGAGGATACATCATCATCTGTTGCTGCTGCATCATCATCATCGCCGCCGCTGGATATTGCATGGCTGCAGCCGCAGCCATCCACTGCTGCGGTTGTTGTTGTTGCTGCCACTGGTGAGGTGGAGGAGGGGTTTGTTGATTCGGCGGCGTGGCTCCGGAAGTTGCCAACGTTGAATCTGCGCCGTTGGTTGTCTGCATCTTGATATTAAAATTTTGAAAAGGCCGATCCGATCTGATCTCCGGAAATGGGAAACAGAGTCACCGAGTTGTTTTAGATTCAAGAACTTCAAGATTCTTCTTCTTCTTCTTCTTCTCTCTGAATATCTTTCGTTCCAAGAAGTGCGTAAAGAAAGTGAGAGCTCGTTGAGCTCTGGAAATGGCGGAGAGAGAGAGAGAGAGAGAGATGAATTAGAGAGAGAGTTGGTCTTAAAAGGAGGCGGAGAGAGAGAGAGAGAAGTGAACAAATGGGTTTAAGGCTGAAACAATGGGTCTTGGGGAAGTGGCCGAAACGTGGGGCCCATTTACGTGCTTAAGCCGTGTTGTTTTTTGAGATCGACGGCTCTGATTCCACCGCATTTAGCCACTTACATTTAATAATATTTTCACCTCCTAGGGTTTTTAAAATATAACTGATTTTTTAATCAAAACTTACGAGGATTTGGTAAAATTCCATATTTACGTGATTAACCGTTTTCTACTGTGAAGAAAGAGTCAGCGCAATCCAACAAAAAGAAAAGAGTCAGCTTTGGGCCTTATATTCATCACTAATTTAAATCAGAGGTCTTAGAAAGCCCATATTTGTCTATATCAGGTTCCACTTGAACCTGCATGTCTACTACATTACCGCCGTCATATCTCTTCATATGCTTCACCGGAATTAGCGTTTGTACTCAGAGGAAGTTCGTGATTTTGGATTTCTTCAACGTTCTTTCTGCATATAGGACAAGTGGAGTCGTCCGATTGAAGCCACGTGTCGATACAATCAACGTGAAAAGCAGTGATTATAACTAGGTAAAACCTTGGCTTTGTCTCCGTCGACGAGCTACGAGAGACAAACGACGCATTCGACGTTGTCTTTAAAGTCATGAGCATTGAAAGATACGACGGCAATTGATCGGAGAACGGAAGGGTTTATCCCAACGGTTTTTATTACATGTAAACTATGACCAGGATGAGTCGGATGATCATCATCAGTTCATCACCGTTGTTGCAATAAGCAAGACAACAACGAAATACACAATAAAACACAGTCCAAATCGCGAAGAAGACGAGACATCGTAGAGCTTCGAGAACGTCTTCGTTCATCTTAAAAGACCTTTGGAATATCTAGGAAAAATGGGTAGAAAAACCCTCACCTTTCTTAAAAACATAGAAAAAACCCTCAACTTTTATTGTGGGTATTTAAACCCTCACCTTTTCATAAATGGTAAAATAAACTCTAGTATTAATAAACTTAATTTAAATTCAAACAAATTGTTATATTAAAACATAAATAAATAGAAACAATTTGATTTAGGATTTTTCTTCTAAAATTCTAGTTTACAATCTTTTTCTTAATTGAAAATTTTTAAGTTATAATGTAAAAAAGTTAATTAGTAAAGTTTTATTCGGTTGTGTTACAAAAATTCATCAACGTGAAACCAAACATATTTTGTTACGAATTATATGTAAATTCTTATATTGAAACCGAATATGAGTTTATATTAATAAAGGTTTATTAGGTTCGATCACACAAATTTACTAACGTGAAACCAAACCAAATTTTATAATACTACGAAAAGTACATGAATTTCCACATCAAAATATTTTCATTGGACAAACTAAATAAGATTTACTAACAGTTAATATTTCTATATGTATATATATATATATATATTATGTATATTAAAATATAATATAAATAATATTTAATTAATCATTATTTAACTATATTTTTATCCAAAACTTGAACACTCTAATAAAAAAAATCAAATGTGATATCCTATAAATTTGTGTAGTTTATATAACATAACTTCTAATTGTAACAAAAATAATTTGCTTAATCTTAACTAAATGGTGAATGAATTTTCATAGCGCAAAAACCCTAATTTTAGAAGAAAAATCGTAAATTCGAATTTGAAAAAAAAATCATAAATTAAATTGTTTTTGTTTCGTACTGTTTTAATATAACGATTTAAAAAAAATTAAGTTGAGTTTATGAATATTAGGGTTTATTTGACCATTTATAAAAATGTGAGGGTTTAAAAACCCACAAAAAAAGTTGAGGATTTTTTACATGTTTTTAAGAAATGTGAGAGTTTTTTTACCCATTTTTCCGAATATCTATCTCTCAAATTAAGAATCCTTATTTTGTAAGAATGTAGAATATTGTGACCAAAATTCTAATTCAATTCTCATAAATAATCCAAAATTCGATAGGTTAAACAAAATATTGGGCCTGAAACATAGCGCCTAAAGCCCAAAGCTACAGCAACAATAATTCATTTTTTTTTCTTTAAAGATTAATTTCAGGTTGCTGTCAAAAAAAAAAAAAAAGATTAATTTCAGGTTCTGTTTATCCTTATTCCTTAATATTTTTTTGTGGTTTCTCTCGTTTTCAATGTTTTTAAACATCTCTATTTAATTATTACTCGAGCTTGTAAATTATAATTAAACAAATAAAAAAGAAGGTAAAACAAAAATAAAAATAAATGTGAAAACAGATGCACGTGGCTGTGTCTGCTATGTAAGACATGGTAAAAACAAAGCCTCAAAGGAGGAATATAATCCCAACGGAACCATGCAATGATGAGATTTACCCTTTCTAATGCCTTACCACGTAGGTATGCTTATTTAATCGTTTTTGATATACTGTAGTTGGGAAATCACTCATTGATGATATTTTTGTTACAGTAACACTTCATTTGGATAAATTACTCCACGTTTGCCGCTTTTTGGTTTTATCTAATGAAGGCCAAAATGGTTTTACTAGTGGTGGACCAAGTGTTTAGTGCCAGGAACGGATCCAAAACAAAAACAAAAAAAATAGAGGAATATTCCGAAAAAATAAAAGACTATTAACGAAAAAATAATATCAAAAATGTTATTAGGATCGCAGTTTTTAGAGAAGTACAAACCAACTGTACCGTCATGTCATGGTGCCTTTCCTCTTTTCTCCAATTCTTTTATAAAAACATCAATTTTTTTGGTTTCAGATATTTTTGTAAATTGGGTACTATGACATGAAACATTTAAAAATAACCAAACTGCAAATGTAAGAATAAGAATGACAAGAGACAAACAAAAATAATAATAATTAGAGTAAGATAAAATAATTGTAATAATTAAGCATCCAATGTTTTTAAGAATCCAAACTAGAAAAGCATCTTTCTATTTTCATGCACTCAAAACCTCAGTCTTCTGCCTAAACCATTTTTAATCTTAAACAGAATTACAGAGACATAACAAACAAACGAAATCACCGTAAGTACTAACCAAGATCCGATTTTTCATTATAAAGGTTGTATTTTTGTTTTGTTTTGTACGAACTACTAACATAGGTTTTAAAAGAGATATTAGAGCTGTACAAGTGGAATGTTAACGACAAAAAAAAACCTATTTTTTTCTTCTTCTTCGTGATGGTATTTGGCTTTGCTTTTTTCATGGCTTAAAGTCGATCCCACTTGTAGCGACCTTCAAGCGGTTCGTCATTGACAATATCGAAGTTGTACCTGTGCCCAAAGTGTGTGTGTTCGTTAGGATTCTGATTTTCTCTCTCTCTCTCTTAGGATATTTGCTAAACTACGCGTCGGTTAATCTTTTTAACATTCCTCTCTCTCTCTCTATGTACGGACTCAAAATTTCCCCAAACCCCAAAAAGCAAAGAGCACACACACAAACACACAAACACACGTGAGAGGAAATTGTAAAAAGGAAAGCAGAAAATGGACTCACTTTTCTATGAATCGCTTCTTACTATCGTTCTCTAGCTCCGAAAAGAAATCCTCAATCTCCGTCGGCGTTGGAGTCTTGCTCACTTTCGGTTGTTTCCTCTCTGTCGCCGACGATGATTCCATTTCTGTTGTTGTTTCTCCCAAACCCTCGCTCACTGGACTTCTCTCTTTTCTGCCATAAATAATCAGAAACAGAGGAAAAAAAAAAACGCAGAGATCAAAAATTGGAGAAGAAAGGAGAATAAAACGATTTAAACGTTTGAGCTTAAAAAAACTGTCTAATTTGGAGAAAAAAAAAAGATTATGAACCTGAAATTGCTGGTGATGAATGTTGAGGTTTCGGTTTCGGTTTTGATTTCATGAGTCTGAAAAAACACAGAAACGGAAATAAAATCAATGGAGAAACAAATTTGTCAAATAAACAGAGGAAAAAATTGATTTATTGATTGATTTTTTCTCCAAAAAATCGTCTGATTAAATCGATTCAAGTAGTAGAGACGAGTTTTTGGATTTTGAAATTTCACCTCCAGATCTACACCAAACGACGAACTGTTCTTCGCGATTTCTTTCGATTCACTGGTGAAAAAACCGGAGCTGATACTCGAGCACTGATCGTTTTCTTCTCCGGCGGTGGTAACGGAACATTCATCTGAAGCTAAAGCCGCCGACGAAGCAATAGAAGAAGAAGAAGCCGCGAAGACGATGACGTCATGAGAGTCCGGTGATGAATCAGAATCATTAAGCTTCGTCTTTTTGTTGAGTGGTGAGACGCTTGTGCTTGAAGCTTCTTCTTCAAGCTTTCGCTTTCTCTCGCTCATTTTTCTCTCTCTTGGATTTTTGTGTGCTCTCTCTGTCTCTCTGCTTGTTTCTTTCTATTTCTGGTTCGCTTCTTAACAAAGCAGAGGAGATTTTGGTGGGGAAGGAGAGAGAAGATGAAAGGAATGAATCATCACGACCGTTGATTTTTTCAACGGATGAGATTTTATTTTCCTTCGCGAGCGGACGGAGGTTATAGTATATAACGGCGCCGTTACGGAGTTTCGCTTTTTCACTTGCACAAACGCCGTTGGGGATTCCAAACGCGTTTTCTCTCCTTTCTACCGTTTTTGGCTTCCTTTCAAAGCAATTAAAAACGCAATCATTTTCGTTAGTTAATGACGTAGTGGAAACGTAACAATAAATCATTAATTTTCTTAAAACGATTTAAAGTATGAGTAAATACAACAACTCTATCCAGGGCCGGTCCTAGCTTATTAGTGGCCTAAAGCATATTAAAAAAATGTGGCCTTTTTTATATAAATACTAACTATAAAATTTAACATTAAACAACTCAAAAAAGTGTTAAAAATCGTTAAATATAGTTGATGAAAATAGTTATAAATGTTATAACAACGTAAAACACGAAAACAAAGTTAATTAACTAAGCATAAGCCAAAAACCGAACCGACGCCGTGAATATGGTGGCTCACAAGGATCGGCCGGAGACAAAAACGTTAAGCAGCAGACTTATCTGAAAGAAGAGAGAAAAACTCGATGTGAACCACCGAAATATTCCAAAATTATAGTTATGAGGTTTGTTTTATAAAGGTGTATTACTTTATTAAGCAAATAAAATATAGTAGGTAAAGTAAAAGAATCTACCGTGGAGAGAAGAATAAGGAGATAATTAAAGCAAAAAAATACTGAAAAGTGGAAAATATTAACCAAAAAGGAAAAAAAAAAAATATGCCTATGAAAGGACTCGAACTCAGAACCTCAGGCAATCTACAGGCCTACATAACCACTAAACCAACATAACACTTTTGAAAATGTGGCCCTTAACTTTGTTATATATTTTGTGGCCTAAAGCAAGTGCTTTGCTTGCTTTATGGACGGGCCGGGCCTGACTCTGTCTATTAAATTTATATAGGAGCAAGTCTAATTTGGTCAGGGTCGATGAGGCTCCCATTATGAGAGAACCATCGAAAAAGGTTTTTGTTTTATTTTTGTAATTGGATTTTATATTTTATGAGATTTAATCAAACCATTAATGACATGACATATATCGAGGGTATATATGAATGGTTGAGGTGTGGATAGAGATATATCAAATTAGCTTGATCCCTTCCTGTTGGTGTCGGATCCCGCACCAGTGGACCGGGACCAACCAAAGATTGCCACGTAGTCAAGATGAAGGCCCGCAAAGGATAAGGCCCATTAAGCCCATGGATCACAAGATATAATCGAAGTGGGCGTCACCAGAAAGAGAGCCCGGAGTGGTCACACCTCGGGATATGACTCGGAATCGAAGTCGGATGACTTGGGCCAAAAGGCGAAGCCCATGAAGATCGGAGTCAATTCAAATTCAAACATTGGGCATTAAAACTCGAAGACTAAAACTGACGCATTTAAGAGAGAATAATTATGTTTAATTGAGAGTTAAATGTCGATTGTCAATATAAATAAGAGGGCTAATAGCCATGTAAGGGATACGCAATCTTTCCAGCAAATACACTATAGTCATTCCTATTCATAGCTTTTTGTATCGTATTTTTGTCCTCAAGAGTATTCATTCCCACAAAATAAACAAATATTCAAGTGTGTGAATCCGACATCCACATTTTGGCGCCGTCTGTGGGGAACTAGAAGATTCTTGAGTTGTCAGATTTCTCTCGTTTCCGAGATAAGCAGCAATGTCTGGAACAAGCATCCCTGATTCGACAGTAGCCGAGGCTCTCAAGACCATGCAGCAAGCCATAACAGAAATGTCGCAGAAGTTCTCGGATGTGGAAAAAGCTGTGGACACGCTTAAAACAACCCAGGTATCTCTTGGTCAAAACATCAATACTATTCAATCTCGTGTTCGTTCTCTAGGTGCAGGAAGTACCGTGGGAGTCCGCAGAAGCATGTTCAGTACGCCAAACTCCCGTGTGCGAAGTGAGACCAACGAACAAACAACTTCTAACCCAACAATCCAACCGGATGTGGAAGAAGAGACGCAACTCGGAGATGAAGATCAGCTTGTAGATCAGTATGATCAAGAGAGCTTCGATCAACTCGAAACCATGAGGAAGGTTAGCCAGGAACTAAAAGAAATGAAGTCAAAGTTCCACCAGGCCACCAGTTCGGAGCCGGACATTAACCGAGTCATCGAGGAAGCTAGGCGAACTCCTTTCATTCCGCGAATTGCAAATTTGAGAATCAAGGATTCTCGAAAACTCAAACTGGATCCATATAGTGGATTAGAAGACCCAAAAAGCTATCTCGCAGCTTTTCTGATTGCCGCTGGAAGAGTCGAATTGGATGAAGCTGATGAGGATGCAGGATACTGCAAACTCTTTTCGGAAAGTCTTTGCGGTCAAGCACTAATGTGGTTCACTCAGCTGGAACCAGGCTCAATCAATAACTTCGACGAATTGTCGGCTGTTTTCCTGAAACAATATTCTATCCTCATGGATAAAAGCGTTTCGGATGCTGACCTCTGGAATCTAACACAAGGGCCAAACGAGTCACTTAGAACTTTCATCACCAAATTCAAGGGGGTGCTGTCAAAACTCCCAAGAATCTCGCAGCAGTCAGCTTTATCTGCCCTACGAAAAGGCTTATGGCATGACTCAAGGTTCAAAGAAGATCTAATACTTCACAAACCGGACACAATTCAAGACGCACTTTTCCGTGCAAATAACTGGATGGAAGTAGAAGACGAAAAAGAGAGTTTTGCGAAAAGGAACAAACAAGCAAAACCAGCGGTCACTTTCCCTACCAAAAAGTTTGAGCCCAGAGAGAACCAAGGACCTAAAAAATTCGGATCGCAACCCCTCAACAATACCGTCGGGAAACAATTTCAAGGAAAAGGAAGGTCGAACACTTGGGTCCGTGACGAAAGTTTGCATTGTGACATCCATAAGGTAACCGGACACTTAACCAAAGATTGTAGTGTCCTCAAAAAGCACCTCGCAGAGCTATGGGCCAGTGGAGATCTTTCTAATTTCAAGATAGAAGATTTCGTGAAAGAATATCACGAGGCAAAAGATATCCCTAAAGATCAGAATTTAAAAAGACCTAGGCAATCCAACGAAGAAGAACCTAGAAGTTCTAAAGGAAAAATTAATGTGATCATTGGAGGTTCCAAGCTTTGTCGGGATACGATCAATGCTATAAAGAAGCATAGGCGAAATGTTTTATTTAAAGCAAATTTAGGTGAAGAAATGGACTTTCAAGGTACCCTGGAAAGAATGGGAATCTGTCGGGCAGATATAGTAGGACCGCCGTCTCCTTTGGTGGCGTTCACAAGCGAATCGGCCATGTCTCTCGGGACGATCAAGCTACCAGTTCTTGCTAAAAACGTGTCAAAGATAGTAGATTTTGTTGTTTTCGATAAACCGGCAGCTTACAACATCATCCTTGGGACTCCATGGATTTATCAAATGAAGGCAGTTCCCTCGACGTATCATCAATGCATCAAATTTCCAACTCCTAGTGGAGTGGGAACGATTCGAGGAAGTCAAGAAGCTTCACGAACGTGCTATCTGACCAGTCATCGACTAAAGATCCAATAGCAATTAACGAAACCTGCGAAGAAGGAAATTCCAAGATTTCCTAGTGGGCAAAAAGAAGACGATGTGGTAATCGAAGTAGTATTGGAAGAAGATAAACCAGATCGGAAAGTCCGAATTGGAGTCACTTTGACTGGCGAAATAAAAGAAGCTTTGATTGAACTTCTAAGGAAAAACAAGACGTCATTTGCATGGTCAGCGGCCGATATGCCTGGCATAGATCCAAGCATAATCTGCCACAAATTGAACGTAGATCCAAGTTTTAAGCCCGTAAAACAAAAGAGAAGGAAACTCGGAGTAGAGCGAGCAAAGGCAGTAAATGATGAAGTGGACAAACTACTAAAGATAGGATCTATAAGGGAAGTACAATACCCGGAGTGGGTGGCAAACACTGTCGTGGTCAAAAAGAAAAATGGAAAGGACAGAGTGTGTATCGACTTCACCGATCTCAATAAAGCATGTCCGAAAGATAGTTTTCCGCTCCCGCATATAGACCGGCTCGTGGAATCTACCGCTGGGAATGAATTATTAACTTTCATGGATGCCTTCTCGGGTTATAATCAAATAATGATGGATCCCGAAGACCAAGAAAAGACATCATTCATCACGGACAGAGGTACTTATTGTTATAAAGTAATGCCTTTTGGTTTAAAAAACGCAGGGGCAACTTATCAACGATTGGTCAACAAAATGTTCCATGAGCATCTTGGGAAGACAATGGAAGTCTACATAGACGATATGTTGGTTAAGTCTTTGAAGAAAGAGGATCACATTAAGCATTTGGAAGAGTGTTTTGAAATTCTCAACCGATATCAAATGAAGCTGAACCCGGCGAAGTGCACTTTCGGAGTTCCATCCGGAGAGTTCCTTGGTTATATCGTGACAAAAAGAGGAATCGAAGCTAATCCAAACCAAATTAATGCCTTTCTAAACATGCCATCTCCGAAGAACTTCAAGGAAGTACAGCGTCTGACTGGTCGAATTGCAGCCCTAAACAGATTTATTTCAAGATCAACGGACAAGTCTCTGCCTTTTTATCAAATTCTGAAGGGAAATAAAGGGTTCCTTTGGGATGAGAAGTGTGAAGAAGCATTCGGACAACTTAAAGCATACCTCACTACTCCACCAGTGTTGTCTAAACCCGAAGTGGACGAGAAGCTCTATTTGTATGTTTCAGTGTCAAAACATGCAGTTAGTGGAGTCTTGGTCCGGGAGGACCGCGGGGAGCAAAAACCGATTTACTACATAAGTAAGTCAATGACGGATCCAGAGACAAGGTACACAATGATGGAAAAACTCGCACTTGCAGTAGTAACTTCAGCCCGGAAGCTGCGCCCATACTTCCAGTCTCATCCAATCGAAGTGTTAACCAACCAGCCACTCCGAACAATACTTCATAGTCCAAATCAATCCGGACGATTGGCGAAGTGGGCAGTGGAACTAAGTGAATATGATAT